CTACATGGGTCTCCTGGCCCTTGCCAGTTTCACTGTGGCTTTCCTAGTCCATAGATTGCCGGGTGCTTTTAACGAAGCCAAGTTCATTACTTTCAGCATGTTGGTGTTTTGCAGCGTGTGGGTCTCCTTTGTGCCCACCTACCTGAGCACGAGAGGCGAGAACACGGTGGCTGTGGAGATCTTCTCCATCTTGTCCTCTGCTGCTGGCTTACTGGGTTGTATCTTTGCCCCCAAATGCTACATTATTTTCCTGAAGCCTGAGATGAACTGCAGAGTTCAGCTAATCAGGAGAAAGGATTGATCAGTTCCCCCTGCTTATGTATTAACGTTTGAATCCATCTATTCAATTTTATGGGACTTACTTCTGGTTAGGTAAGCATAGTGTCAAGTTGTTTACACAAAATATGACCAAACTGATTAACTGTGTATGGTTCATCATCATTGGTATTTTAATCTAACTCAGTAATGTAAGAGTCAATAAGATATCGCATTAACAAATTTTGAACCCAAATCAAGAATACTCAAAGTAACCATCTCATAACACAAGTGTTCACAAACTTTGTGCCTAAGAGGAAAGGGGTAAGTAATCCCTTCTCAGTCAACCCATAAAAGTCTCTGAACTGACCGCATCTTTGAATGAAGAATTTTCAAATATATTTCAGTCTGTCCTTGTTTCTGTCAAACATTTTTAGTCATCTTGTCTCTCAGGTACCACTTGAAGATCCAACTTAGTATATTTGAGCTTCTCACCATGGAGATCCAGTGTGGTGTCATGGTTAAGAGTTTTGGGTAGGGTGTGCTCACATATGCCTCATTCCAACTTTGGATTCACAAGTGGTGTAGGCAAATACCTGTAAAGGCTTTTATGTTCAAGAAAATATTTGCATGCAGTTATGTATCTTCTTATCTTTGTGACCCCAAGGTGACAGCACATGCCACCTTTGTGGCAGAAAGATTGTGCTTCTCATGTGTTGGGATAGACAAGCTGACTGACTTATATTCATTCACATGCCCATACTCCATGGATTTCAGCTGCTGCATTGCTGAAGACATACCATGGTCATACCTGATCATATCATGACTCAAACTGCATTTCAAATATATTTTGAAGGATGCCACATCTGAAACCTTCAAATGATTGCCATTGTCCTGGAATTGTCTTCATGGAAAAGAAATATTAGATGAGAAATGCATTATATTACAATTTTAATGCTTATATTTATTAAAGTAGATAAAGTATTCTACAAATTTAGCTAAAACGCCTACCCCTTTGCTATCCTACAATAAGTTTAATTAGTTAATAAAGCCAAAGCCATGAATTTTTATTCCACTGATTCATGTTGTGATGGTCTCATGCATTCTGGATGGAGACAATGAAGAATCCTTTGAGGAACTTCTAATTCTTTTCCTGCAAAGTTATCCACCCATGTACCAAATGATCCACAAATTACCCCACCCACCAATCCCATCTCCAGTAATGCAGAAGGTTGTGGTAGTAATGAATTAGTTTCACTTTCCCCCTTTTCCCCACTTTCCATTCCTTCTTTGTATAAGGTTGCATATAATGATATTCACATTATAGTTCATACAACTCAGCATGATAATTATCCCAGAAAATTATGAATTGCAATTTTCCTCCAAAAGTAACCTATTCCCTTATTTCAATAGGTAAGTTGAAATAGGTTCGATAGGTTAATTTGAAAAATATTAAATTTTTCTCATACCTCCAGACCTGTGATGAATATGAAATGACTGGATACTTCCTTGTATTTCCTTAAGAAGAAGGCTGAAATCTTCCTCTTCTTGCAAACTGAGAGCCTTTTGTTCTTCATGCAAATTTTCTCAGAAGCAGTGTAAACAGTATTCATACCCTCTTCAGACATTTTGTTCTTATTTTATTGAATGCAGATTACCTATACTGTGTGGTCAATTGGGATATGCATACATTGAAGAATCAAGAAGACTAGTATAATCTGCAGCCCAAAAATGGCATCTACTGACTACACTTGAATCAAACTAAATAGAATGTCAACTCTCTTTAGATCACGACCCATAGAGCTGGCAAGGACACTCATCACTGGAAAAAAGCACAGGTTTTTGCAGGAGAATTATGGTGACGTTCAAATGAAAAATTCAATAGGGATAGTTTCTGAAGAACCCAGTACATCATTCCTGGTAAAATAATTGATAGAGAACTGCATTAATTTACCAAAGAAATCTGAATGCCTGCACTGCTGAACAAGAAGTTTAATGGAACAAAATAATTCTCTGATGTTTTATCCATGGTGGTGGGGGAACTATATTAATAACACACTGAGTGAAGATGTTGAAGTGCAACTCGTTATTAATGGAAATGTCTCCTCTGTGACAGGAATAATGATGAGAATACCTTAAAAGCCTGAATAATAATTTTCTGTGCAATTGATTAGCACATGTTTTTCTGTGAATCATGAAGTTATCTTGATTTCTGTAAAGTTCCACTAGATTAGGCAGAGAAACCACAGGTGACTTGCATAATATTGTATGGGGAGCAAGAAGCACAATTCCCCATAGGGAGGCAGGCTGGAAGAGGAGAAAGAAAGATAATCATAAGTGTTGTGGCTAGTGCCACTATTTGGCTCTCGAGTAACACTCTCAGAGCTCCAGCACCTCAATAGCTTTGTTGGAAGACTATTTCACGTGTCTTTCTTCCCAGGTCATCCTGGTCCACAGCCAGGACACTAGTGTGAACACAACTAGGAAGGCCACTTGATTTCTCTGAAAAACACCCAGACTGAGGGACCACTGAAGTATGGTTGGAGTGTCCATTAATCCAGTTCATCATGCTTGGATGCTGAGTAACATATCCATCCATGCAAATATATTTTGATCTCATGATGTAGAACAAAAGTCAGTATCTGCTGGGCAGATTTCAGGCCATGTAGAAGATGCACACCCAAATAGTCTTTAAGATTATCTGCTTATTTTCAGTGAAAGTTTGATTAGAAATATGTTTTTTGATCCCCTTGAAAGTGCAATGATGCTTCATTCAATGATGATTTGAATTCCATTCAGTGATGATGGAAACTCCTAGAGCAGTTAACTGAAATCAAGATGTGCCTGGCTTATTACATTGATTTCAGGAAAGCCAACAAAATTGAGCAAGTCTGTGTCAAAAACAATGCTGAAATTCCTACCAATCCATTCAATATTGCTTCTGTCTGAACAGAAAACTCAGCAATTAGGAATGGTGATAAAGAACAGATAGTTTCATAAATACCATTCTATTAGCACCGACTGCTTTCTATATTAAATAGTCACATTCATGAAAATATTCTGAAAGGTGGATGCTTAACACAGTTTGCAAACTAGAACTAGAACATTCACAAATGAACTTGTTCTCAGATCAGCTGTGCTGTGTGCTTGCTGTTCAACTGTAATCCAGCTCAAACCATAATGTAGAAATGTCAAAGATCTGAGAATGAGGCTGTCATCCCCCTATCCATGGAATACAGAGGAGAAATGGTGGGGGGAAATAGGGTTAGATCAAGCAGAACATAAAAAAAATAAAATTGATGGATTTATCAGGGTATGTGTTTGAGGATACAATCATCAATAAACACAACAATAAACCTCCCTCCATTCATCATGAAATCTTCTCAGGCAGGGAACAATTTACAAAGAATAGTATACAGTACAAATGTTGTGCAACATTCAAATATGTTTTGAGAGTTGCACAGCATCCATTCAAATATGTTTTCCCCAATCCGCTTGAAAGTCTGATGTCTAAAATGGTGTCTTAGTATATATCAGGGCTTGAAATCTCACAACACCAAATGCTGAATACATAAGAATCTTTGGAAGCATATATTGATGTTACATACCATCAAGTCGTCTCTGACATATGGTGAATGAAACGTACATGAAATGTCCTCTTCTTGATGGCTCTGCTTAACAAACTTAGGCTCCAGATAGTGGCTTGCTTTTAAGAAACCATCTCATGGTTGATCTCCCTCTTCTACCTTCATACTTGCCCTACCATTACTGTTTTCTGCAGTGAGTCTTCTTTCTCATGATGTGCTCAAAATATAAGTTTCAGTTTTGTGAATTTTGTTTCCAGGGAAATTTCTGGCCTCGTTTGATCTGGAATGCACATGTTCATCTTTTTGTTTGTCCAGGGAATTTGGGAATATCTCCTCTAATGCCATGTTTTGACAGCATCCAGTTTTCTTCCTGTCTGCTTTCTTTACTGCCTAGCTTTCACAACCTGTACATAATGCTTGGCAATAATTTAATGCAGGCATTTAAAGAATGTTTTCTTCTTCTGGATTGCACTCTTGACAGTGTCTTTGACCTCTTTGTTTCTGATTGTGTATATGAACGGGTTCAGCATTGGGGTGAGAATTGTATTCAGGATTGCAACTAACCTGACTAGATGAGATGAGGAATGGACGTTGGGCCTCACGTACATTACCATAAGGGCTCCATACAATATGGACACCACAATCAGGTGGGAGGTGCAGGTGGAGAATGCCTTTTTCTGTCCCACAGCTGAAGGAATGTGAAGAACGGTGGAAATAATGAAAATGTAAGACACAATGATGAGGATCAAAGTCATGATGACAATCAGGACAGAGGTCAACAGACCCAGAGATTCAAGGAGGTGAGTATCTGTACAGGCGAGTGTTAAGATGGGACCAATGTCGCAGTAGAAATGGTCCACAATGTTGGGGCCACAAAAAGGCAACCTCCACACAAAGACTGATGGAACAAACATAAATATGAATGCTACATACCAGGTGGCCAAAGACATCTGGATGCAAACATGCTTTGTCATAATCAATGAGTACTGAAGCGGCTTGCATATGGCCAAATAGCGGTCAAAGGCCATTGCTGTGAGGATGAAAAGCTCTGCGCTGCCAAATATGAAGTGGAAGAATCCTTGGGTCATGCAGCAGGTGAAACAAATTGTGGTCCGTGTTTGGACAAGGGTCTGTAGCATCTTTGGTACAACAGTAGTGGTGTAGCAGATCTCCAGAAAGGCCAGGTTACTCAGGAAGATGTACATCGGTGTTTGAAGTCTTGACTCAGTTGCTACAATGATGAGAATGAACCCATTCCCTAAGATGCTTGCAATATACATGAATAAACCCAGCACAAAGAAGACTCTATGTAGTTCACGTAGAAAAGGAATCCCCAGGAGGATAAATTCAGCCACTGTAGATGTATTCATCAGCTCGATCATAAGAAGAGTCTAATCCTCTCATATGGTTTTTTCAGACATCCCCTACTACAAAACTCCAGAAAGGCATGTGAATGTGTGTTGTTCTTGTTGTTGTCTTAATAATCAGCTAGTTTGTGATGCTATATAGTCTAGGGAGCACAAAATGCATTCAGTCTTTTGTAGGAAAGTGCTTTCAATTGGCATTGCTTATTTCTTTCACATGAAAGCCAGAAGATGTTGTAGCATCTTTATGGTCATATCTATTACACTGTTTAAATGACCAAAAGAAAGTGTATCATTAAATTCAACCCAGTCTGGTTCCTTGTTGCTTTAAAAGCAGTTATAGATATGTGATGGACCTAGTTAAGGGTTGAGAGATTCTGTTGATTAAAACAAGTCCAAGTTCAACCTTCTGGCCCCAAAAAATTCTTTAAAGGGTCTTTTTGTACCTTGTCAGCCACTGTTTAAAAACCAATTTACTACATTCAACCCTGCTTCCCCCCATCCCAAGGCAGCTATCTCAAGCATGTCTATCATGTAGTGAACCTGAACTGCAACCTACCTCTGAGTAGACCTACCTATATTTCATATTCATTCCACAGCACCTACAATACCTGGCACCCCACCTTTTTCAGAAGAGAAGGAAAAAGAGAAGCAGAAAGATCAGCATCAAGGGATGAAGTATAAAGAAACAAAAGAGGATGAGGGGGTGAGAACATGAAAAGGAAATGGAGAGGGAAAACAAGTTCAGTGCTTTGCAATGATATGGAAACATTTAAGTATTATTTTAAAAGTCTAATGCCATCTTGTCTGTGTTATGTCTAGATTAAAGGACAAGAAGGGAGTTAAGAATGGTTTGATTAAATCTCCTTGCAACATTTAAAATAAAAGACATAACCAATGGACTCACATTTAGACAAAAGACACAGAGACAGGGAGGAGAAGATTAGAGAGCATTTAGATAATACTTCTGCAATTATCTAAATTGTTACACAAAGTGCAACCAGCTTCCCTGCCCTCCCACCCACCCCAAAAAAGGGAAAAACAGGGGCAGAGGGGACGGGGAGGACAGCATAATAGTCTAGCATTTACTTCTGATTAAAGGGACAATGATCTATTTATTCTCCAGTACTGGCAAATAGCGCTCTTTGATCTTGGAGATGAGGAGACAAAAGTGGCTTAAAGTGGTCAGGGAGGATACTCTACAAGGAAGAGTAGTGCATTCCTCAGCACAGCAGAGAAGACTTCCTACGTCCCCTGAAATTCAGTAGCAAATATTGCAATGAAATAGGACCCTTTGCCCAAATGATTGGGCAATGTTATGGTCCATGCAATGCCTTGCACTGCATGACTTCCCACCCCTCTGCCCAAAATATGCAACAGTAGTACTGGATACAGATCAATGATTCCATTCAATTCATCTGCAAAGGCTATTCTGTGTTGGTCGTCCTCAGTGCAAATTGGCCGGCATGTAGCATCAACTTTATAAAGGGTAACATTGTCTGTGTTCATCAGAAGTTCTCGTCACATAAGCTGCACACTTCATAATAATTTCTCATGAGATTTTTCACCTCTACGGAGCTGCATATCCATCAAGGTTAATTTAGCTATAATAAAACATTCCTCTCTTTCAAATTAAGTTCATTTCCTGTTCTCCGCTGAAACTTCTGCACGCTTCTGCTGGACATGAATTCCTGAGAAAATACGATACTGTAACTATCTACTTGGTTGCATTGAGTTCCAGGACCTTAGTCCCCGGAAATTGGATCTACAATTGCACCCTTTGAAAGCATAGAAGAGAAAGTGTGATTAGCTTTCAGTAGTCAGAATGCATACCCATTTGCAGAGTATATCAGCCCATACAATAATGAGTAGGAACTGGTGAGAAATCCCCAGGCAGTATCTGAGGACATTGATCTGAAAATGCAAGTAGTACTGGCAGAACTTTAAAAAACTGGCCATTATAGAAACATAGAAACAGAGCAAGTCAGAAGGAGCCTCCCAGGTCATCTGGTCTGACCCCCAGCTCCAGCCAGCTCTGCTCACGACATGCCCACCATGTGCATGTCCAGCCTATCTTTGAACACCCTCACCAATGGGGCCTGAACGACCTCTCGTGGAAGCCCATTCCACACCCTCGGGGTCCTAACTGTCAGGAAGTACTTCCTGGCATCTAAATGGAATCTTGGTTCCCTGAGCTTTGCTCTGTTGGAGCATGTCCTGCCTTTCTTTGCAGGGGAGAACAGGTCTCTACACATCTCCATGTGACATCTGCTCACACACCTGTATGTCACCAACATATCCCCTCTGAGTCTCCTCTTCTCCAGGCTGAAGAGACCCAGTTCCCTCAGTCTCGCCTCATACCCCATCCCCTGCAAACTGGCCACCAGCATTGTGGCCCTACACTACACTGACTCTAACCTGACTATATCCTTTCTGTAATGAGGGGCCCAAAACTGAGCACAATACTCCAGTTGCGGGCACACCAACATTATCTATCAAAATTATCTATAACATTATCTAACATTATCTATCAAAAGATAATGTCCATTGGGTTGCATGATGAGTTGCACAAGGGATTCTAAAAGCAGAATGTATAATTCTGCTTTCACAGCTGCACTTGAGCAAATGTTAATTTGAGTTGGATTGCCTCTTGCCCATAGTTTACCAAGTGTCCACCAGCACAGTGTAATTTGCCCTAAAGGAATGACACTGTTGGAAATTGCCTGTACTTGGACAGCACAACCTGATTTTGGTGAGACCGCTCAGTCTGGACCCGCCCCTTTGCTGCTCTGGCTCAGGTCTGGAGATAATAATAAGAACTGGTATGGTGGGAAGAATTAGATGAGATAGTATATAAAATTATGTAGGAAAGAGGAGACAACTGGGGTAACAAAAAGCCATATGACTGTGATATTTATTGGGTGACATATAAAAGCTTTAAATAAATGAAATAATAAATGAATGGGGGAACAAGTTCAGGATTATATGAAATTTACTATGTAATTATAAATTTTTAATCTGATCTTAGTTATATTCAGTTCAGTGGGATTTACTCCTAGAACACTGTCTATAGGGCAGGAATCTTACTCCTTAGTAAATTTGCTTACTAAGCATTATCCACCCCCAAAATAATGCTAATATCTGGATCTAGAAAGAAGCCTGGGCTTTGATAAATTAGGTAACTTATCATCCAAAAAGTGAGTTTCTCCTCCTCCTCCTTCTTCTCCTTGGCCTTCTCCTTGGCCTCCCCTCCCCCCCCCACCGCATTTATATCCCACTTTTCTTCCTGTTACAAGGAACCCAAGGTTGTCTATATGGGTCTCCTCTTCTTCATTTTATCCTCACAACAACCCAGTGAGGCTGCTTTGACTGCGACTCTGTTGCTGTTCCAAAGTCATCCAGTGAGCTTTGTGGCTGAGCAGGGACTAGAACCCAGATCTCCACAGTCCCAGTCCAACACACTCACCTCTACACCACACTGCAATCTCCCCTCTCTGCTAGCCTCAGCTTCATAGCATAGTTCATCCAATTGGGTGGATGACCTGGGAAAAGTAACACAGGTATTCTGGTTGATCAAATCCTAGGTGTGAATTTTGTGCATGTCTTGGTAGAATATTCTAGTAAACCCAGGCAGATCCAATTTGTGCATAGTCATATTTTATTTTCCTCTTGCCTTTGTTTTATTTACCACTTGTTGAACCATCTTATTCCTGGTGAATCCCTTTTTCAGGGCATCTTTCACTTCCTGGTTTCTGAGTGTATATATAAAAGGGTTCAGCAGTGGTGTGACGAGTGTGTTCAATAGGGACACCAATTTGTTCATATTCAGTGAGGCGTGACCTGTGGGCCGGACATAAATGAAAATGATTGCCCCATACAGCATGATGACCACCACCAAATGTGCAATGCAGGTAGAGAAAGCCTTCTGCCTCCCAGAGGACGATGGGATTCTCATCACAGTGGAGATGATGAAGATGTAGGAGACCACGGTCAGCAGGGAATTACTGAATACCACAACAGTGGCAACAATGAAGACTGTCCACTCAATGGGGTATGTGTCTACGCAAGCCAGTTTTAGCAATGGCCCAACATCACAGTAGAAGTGGTTGATAATATTGGGACCACAGAAAGGCAGCTGGAACACCAGAATTGTCTGCACCAAAACAGTCATCAAGCCACCAAGCCAGGAGCCACCAGCCAGCTGAACGCAAACTCTGCCATTCATGATACCATGGTAATGAAGAGGGTGGCATATCGCCAGGTAGCGATCATATGCCATAGCTGTAAGGAGGAAGAATTCTGTGGCCCCCAAGAAAAAGTGGGAGAAGGCTTGAACTTTGCAGCCAGCTAGGCTGATTGATTTCTTGACTGTGAGCAAGTTGACTAAAAGTTTGGGGATCGTAGTGGACACGTAGATGATCCCCAAGAAGGAGAGATTGACGAGGAAGAAGTACATTGGCTTGTGGAGTGTAGGGACATGAGCCACAGTGGCAACAATGACGATGTTTCCAGTGACAGTCAAGATGTAGATTGCCAGGACACCCAGAAACACTAGAATGCTCGCCTTCTGGATGCTGGGGAAGCCCAATAAAATGAATTCGACCACAGTGGTTTGGTTTTCCATCCAGACCTGCATGGGGAAGTAAGAATGGCCATACTGGATCTGAGGATTCTTTGATAAGTTTGAATCTGATTCTTTAGCCAAGTGTGGATCCAAATGATAGCTGTTCCATCTAGCCCATTTTGAGTGTTAGTCGGGGCTTAAGCCAAGGACTCACAACTCATTCACCTTCTTAACCTTTCATGCCTTCGTTCTCCTCTCCCCATTTTCCTTCTGAGAACCTAGTGACTAATTTAGTCCATTTTCTAATACACGGGAGCAAAAACCCAGATCTGCGGGCCAAACCCAGCCTACCTGGGCTACCAGTCTGACCCTCCATCCAGATAACCATGGTCCCTAAACCTGGCACACCCTTTCCCTGCCATGGTTTGCCCACTCTCATTTCTAAAAGTTTGCAATGCCTCTCCTGTCACTTGTGCTTAACTCTTTAAGCTAAAATATGTTGTAATTTTAGGGTGTTTCTGCCCTTTAGCCTTAATTCCACCCAATTTTTTCTTCAGGTCTACCCACTCCTGGAGTGCAGTCCCTGCAAACCTCCCAAAGATGGAATCTAGACTTTGGCTCAAGCATTGTGTGGCATTCTCATTCTAATGTGTAATATTTAATGGCACAGGATCTGTTTAAGCTGATTATGGGTTGAATAAAGACTCAGATGCCCCAGAATTTCTAGAACTTAAGTTACTCATCAATCCAGAGTTCCATTAGTTAAGAAGCTGCCTTATTTTGAGTCAAACCATAAATCCACGCAGTCTGCATTATTGGCATTGTCAACTTTCCCTGGCCATGATTCTCCAGACTTTTTGACAGGGGTCATTCTCAGTTCTACCTGGAGAAGCCAGAGTTTGAACTTGACACCTTCTGCATGGCCAGAAGATGATCTTCTACTAAGCCACTGAATGGATCCCTTTCCTAAATTTGAGTTAGTTGAGCTTAATGGGGCCATGTCAGCTCCACAGAACTACCTGAGCTTGAGCTATTACAAAGCAAAAAATTGCTGCTCCTAGAACAAAGGATGGCTCCCTTAGGAGGACAATCTTGTGTATGCTGAGACAGAAAAAGTCCTACAGTTACCAGCATGGATGGCTGGAGGGATATTGGCAGTTTAGGACTTCTTTCTATCTACTGAATTGGGTTGTGCTTTAATTTAGGACAAAATCTGATGCATGAGAGGCCATGGGTTTCCTTGGGGTCCTGATTCTAAGACCCTGCAGACATGGAACTGGGGTGCTGAAGACTGATCCCTTACACTCATTATGGTAGAAACCAAACCAGCTTCTATACCCCCAGACTCAAGTGGGCTTCAGAAGGGGGAAAAAAGACCATGCCAGGGAATGGGGAGAAGGCTGGGCCCACAGACTTACATTGGAATCAGCATCCCAGTCTCTTTTCTTCTCCTCTCTGGTGCTAAATTTAGGCAGTCAGAATGGCCATGTCTGGCGCGAGACACAGTAGTGGGGACGATCAGTGCTGCTGCATCTCATTCTGAGCATAGGATAGATTAGACCTAGGATACATGAGCTTCGATACTAGCTTTTATTGAAGCTGTGAGGCATAGGGTTCTGCCCTTAGCATACAGTCAAGTGATTCATCTGATGTTGCTGATTATTGAATATAAATATTGATTCCCTGCCCTCACCCAAATTTTCCATATTCCAAATTGCAGGTCCTCTAGGAGTAGGAATTTTTGTAAACCACAGTGTACAGGAATAACATGTCTTCAAAAGGAGCAACGAAACCTAAAGATTCATTCAGAAAAGAAACAGAATGCTTCAGATTTCATTTAATTATGTATTGACTTCTTTAATTTTACTGTTGATTTCAATAGCAAGTACCATAAACATTTGTATTTCTTTATGACCTGGACCATCTGCATTTCACCACTGCACGTTACAGATGTGTCATAACTGCACATTCCTGTATTTATTGGCAATAGTCATGCAAAATCTTTCCCCTTTCCCCTCCTTTCCTCTCCTTTCCCCTCCTTTCCTTTCCTTTCATTCTTTTATCTAAGTTCCTACATTTTGGGATGGGCTAAACTTAAGTTTGGTAAAACTCAAAGTTTAGAGGAAATGACTTTCAGCTGGAGAGATAAGAAACTGCCAGAAATTAACACTGATAAATGAATTCACTTTGAGTGGCTGGGCCAGGGTGGTCTTCAAGGAACATCTGCTGATGAAGACCTTGGAGAGGTGACAAAGACTTGGAGTGGAGACTACCGGCCTAAATGGATTGGTGGTTTATGTCATATAAGGGAACTTCGTAACACCTGATCCATTGTCCAGACAATTGTCTTTTCAATTCTGTTCCTTCTGCACAACTACCTAATTTCAGGTTCCTCCTCAAAGAATAAATAATCTCCGATATGATGTAGAGAAGAATGGCATGATGATTTCCAGCATGTTATGACAAAGGGAAAAGTTACTCACATGGTCATATGCTCAGACTGGTTCTGGAAGTAACATCTTTCCCCTTCTTTTTATCTTCTCCAAAAACAGCAGAATAGTATCTCCAAGTACTTGTACACCATCCAGTATTTTCATGTCCTGATACTAAAGGACTATCTTCCTTGTAGAACATAATGTTTAATAAGAATTAATGATTGATTATTATAATTTTATTAGAAAAAAGCCCCCTGCCTCTCCTTCTGTCCCTATCTATGTAAGCAAAAGAAAGACAAAGCATGTTTGTTTTTCTTTCTGGTATTTCACCCATATATTTCTGCACTCTATTTGGTATAAATATTCTGTCTAAAAGGCATTTCAAGTTTACGGGAATAAGTAGTTCAGTCTTTCATACTCATTCCAACAGGGAGATGAAATCAGCAGGGGCAGGATTTGAGGAAACAAATGGCAGAGCTTCAATAATAATGAAGAGAGAGAGAGAGAGAGAGAGAGAGAGAGAGAGAGAGAGAGAGAGAGAGAGAGGGAGAAAGAAAGAAAGAAAGAAAGAAAGAAAGAAAGAAAGAAAGAAAGAAAGATTCCCCATCTTCCAGAATGCATTGAACAATATCAGGAAATGGCACTGGGAAGAATTCACAGCAGAGTTCAAAGACCTGGTCATTATTAGTGGTAATATTATTTGCATTTTTATACTGCCCAGTAACTGAACAATTTACAGCAGCAGATAAAATGCAATAAATATACAATCCAATGTACCATACTGATAAAACAATATTAAAATATAATACAAAATCTAAAAGCAACATTATTAAAATATAATGCAAAATCTAAATATACAAGTTAAGTCACTAGGTCTCCTAAGCAGTTGACATAATGCTGCTGAGTTTGCATTGGTGTTATTTATATTCCACATTTTAAAAGAAAATAAAGAATAAAGAAAATAAACTTCCATGGAGCCTGAAGTGCCTGATCTTGCTAAACTTGGAAGTTAAGCAGGGCTAGGCCTGGTCAGACTTGGGATGGGTGACTTGACTGCATGTTTGGATGATTTTTCTGGTAAATTGCCCAGAGAGATTTGGCTATGAGCAGTATAAAAATGTAGTAGTAGTAGTAGTAATACTTGTAGTAGTAGTGATGAGAAATGACAATACTACAAATCATGCCAATACATGCAGTCTTGATGCTGCTATGGCCATTATTGGGTTTTTGTAGCAGATGCATAGAACTATTATTATTATTATTATTATTATTATTATTATTATTATTATTATTAGAACATTTCTATGCCGCCCCTTGCCGAAGCCTCGGGGAGGCTTACAAACACAATAAAATATAATAAAATACAAAAATAACAATATAAAATTAAAATTAACAATATAAAATAAATAAAAATATAAAATATAAAAGATACTGGTTGGATGTCAAACACCTTAAGAACAAGCTCACGGGCCACTGGGCTAACTGGACAAACAGGAGTTCAGGAGGAATGACCTAATGGCTTGTGATAGCCAGTGGCTTTGGGATAAAGAATAATGGATGAATAATGGGATCCTTGCAGAGCAAAGGCCTGGCAAGAGAAGACATTTCTCCTAGAGATCAGGTGAAACAGCCCTGCAAGGGGTCCCTACCAATGCCCTGAGCAGGTCAACTAGGGGTGAGGGAAGGAAACACCAGACACCTCAGCCACCTCACCATCAAAAGCAGCCAGCAGGAAGAGAGAAAGAACACCAGGAGCAAAAAGATAGCCCAGGTCATCAAGAGCAATCAAGCACACATTAAGTAATTAATAACCATGGTTTTGAGAAGCAATAGAAAGCTTCCTGCTCCCATGGAAGCAAGTCTGGTGAGATCTGTGCAAGAACCAGTGGCTTAGTGAGTGGGTGGTCAGCAAGCTCTGAATGCAGTCCTGACATCCATCCTGGAGCATGGATGAGTCGTACCCCACTGGGGACTGGGTTTCTATGTGTGTGAAGTGTCCACATTAATGGAAAAGCTAAAGTGGGTCCCCCATTCAGGCTGCAGACATCAGACCCCAGCAAAAGATCCTAAACCTCTTGAGCTATCCAGGAAGGCAAGAAGACCCTTTGGACCTCAGGACATTGTCTCCTGAGATTGCCCCCATGTAACATTCTAAGTGAGGAAGGGTCCTGTGTGAGTCAAAGGTTCACATGCAGTGCTGGTAAAACCAGTGGTGATGGATGTGGCAGAAATATTTTTGCTACTAATAATAAACATGCCAAGGGTTTGTTGTGGTTGTCTTTATTTGCACTGAAAATGAACACATGAAACAGAGCTCCCAAATGTGGCACCACTGGAGACCTGCTGCACTGACCAAAGACTTCTTTTCTTCTTGCATCATCATCATCATAGAATTCAATGCCAGGTTCTTCATATTTGCGAATCTGCTGCTGAACCTTCACTGGGTAGGAAGAAATTGGAGATCAAAGGGGGAGAAAGGAGGGAAATATGAAGCTAAGAGACTGCGAGTGGACATATAGCAAAGGGTGGATAGATGGGAGATTGAGCAGTCCAGGAATGAAACTTCACACCACGCTCTCCCTTTCAGTCTCTAGTCTTGCTAATTCTCTCCTCCCCGCACCTCTGGACTGGCTAGGCCTCCATGGCAGTTCCCACATAATCCATAGGACCTGTTTTGTAGAGGTTCTCCCAGCAGTTTCTCAAATCCCCACATGGAGATCCTTGACACAGAACAAGCAAGAGTAAAGCACACACCTGGGAAGATCAGGACAGCATGTAATATGCCATGCCTCCCATTCTGCTCAGCTCTTGGAAACTCAGTTTGTGGCTTCCTTTATGATCCATCTCATATTTCTCCTTCTCCTTCTCCCTTTCTCTTGTGAGTCTTCTCACAATGTGCCTAAATTAGGACAGCTTGGGTGCTGTCATTTTTGCTTCAGAGAAAGTTCTGGCTTGATTTCATCAAGGACCCCCTCATTTGTCTTTCTGTTGGTCCAGAATATTCACAAAGCTCTCCCTCAGCACCATGTTTCAAACACATCAATGTTCTTTCTGTCAGCTTCCTTCACTGTCCAGGTTTCACCCTCATGCATAGTGATTGGGAATACAGGAGTGTGAACATGCACATGTTGGACATGCACATAGTAGGCATGTCATGAGTGGAGCCAGCTGGAGCCTGGTGGTCAGACTAGTTGTCCCGGGAGGCCCCTTCTGACTTGGCTCTGTTTCTGTTTCTATGAATGACCTTCACTTTTGTCTTCAGTGAAATCATATATTTTTCTGCTTTAGGCTATTTGGGGGAAGTGAGCATCTGGATGTGCACTTAAAAAAATATGGACCTAAATGCACATTTCTACTGTTCAGAGAAAGTACAGAATAGTTCACATTCAGGAAAGGTTATGAGGCAAAGCAAACTTCTGGAAATAGAACTTGGATGAATTCAACCTTCATCAGATCCCTCACTGCTAGCTAGAGCATTATTGTCCCTGTAAACTCACCGGGTGACCACCAACAGGACTGTGATCCATCAAGAACACTGGGAAAGAATGAGGAAATACATCGGCATGCCCTGGAATATTCTGATTTTTGCTTTGCCAATCCAGTACAATTATCCTGGATAAGATCAAGGCAGTGAGACCTGGTTGTCTTTTCTGGTTTTAAAGTTTGTTGCTCTCCTTAAAGCTTCTTTGACATCTTTGTTCCTCAGGGTATAGATGAATGGATTGAGGAGAGGGGTTATGACTGTGTTCAGCACAGAAACAACCTTGTTTATCTCCAGAGATGAGTTTGCTCTGGGTTTCACATACATGAACATTACCGTCCCATATTGTATGGACACCACAGTGAGGTGAGCTGCGCAGGTTGAGAAAGCCTTCTGCTGCCCCAGAGAAGAAGGGATACGCAATATGGTGGAGATGATGAGGATGTACGAGATTACAGTGAACAAGAAGGAACTGAAGAGGAGAAGGGCTGATCCCACCAAGACCATCTGCTCTAGCAGGTGTGTGTCAGTGCAAGCCAAGCTCAACAGAGGGGTTACATCACAGTAGAAATGGTTGATCAGATTAGGACCACAAAATGGGAGCTGACACAGTAAGATGGTCTGAACAATGACTGTGAAGAACCCTCCCAGCCATGATCCCAAGGCTAACCAGAGGCACATTCTGGAGCTCATAATGGTTGTGTAGTGCAGAGGTTTGCAGATGGCTATGTAGCGATCCAAGGACATTGAAGCAAGCAGGCAGAATTCTGTGGCCCCAAGTAAGAAGTGGAAAAAGGCTTGGGTGATGCAGCAGTAGAAGCAAACGGTCCTCCTCTCTGCCAGAAAGTTGGCCAGCATCTTGGGTGACAAGGTGGTAACGTAAAAGATCTCCAGGAAGGAGAAGTTCCCCAGAAAGAAGTACATGGGGTTATGGAGATGGTGATCACAGATGATGATGAAGATGATCAGAATGTTGCCCACAACAGTTAGGATGTACATGAACAGCACAGGTGCAAACATATACTTCTGTAGCTCTGCAGAGCCTGGAAACCCTTGCAGGATAAACTCACTGATCATTGTTTGATTAGTCTGGATAGTTTCTTGGAGAGGCACCATCTCTCTGGTTTCCTTGTATGACTGCCAAGCTGGAAGAAGATGAAAGAGAGAGTAAAGTGGCTGGGTCATCAAGTCATGCAAATTTGCTTCTTTTTTTAAATAAATACAACACATCACAGCAATGATAATATAATGAAGCAAAAACACAATGATTTAAAAAGTAAATGATAAAGTGCTCCCACCACCCGGAGACCAATACTACCACCACTTAATTCACATATAACAATTAATAATATATAATAAGAATAAATAATATACTTAGTGACAGCTTTTATTTTCCTGGGCTCCAAGATCATTGCAGATGGGGACTGCAGGCAAGAAATTAAAACATGCTTACTCCTGGGGAGGAAAGCTATGGCAAATCTAAATAGCATACTAAAAAGCAATAGTCAGGGCTATGGTTTTCCCAGATGCAATGTATGGCTGTGAAAGTTGGACCATAAGGAAGGCTGAGCACCAAAGAATAGAGGCCTTTGAATTATGGTGCTGGCGGAGACTCCTGTGAGTCCCTTGGACCGCAAGGAGATCAAACTGGTCAGTCCTAGAGGAGATCAACCCTGACTGCTCTTTAGAAGGTCAGATCCTGAAGATGAAACTCAAATACTTTGGCCACCTAATGAGAAGGTAGGACTCCCTGGAGAAGAGCCTAATGCTGGGAACAATAGATGGCAAAAGGAGAAGGGGACGGCAGAGGATGAGGTGGCTGGATGGAGTCACTGAAGCAGTTGGTGTGAGCTTAGGTGGACTCCAGGGGATGGTGGAGGACAGGAGAGCCTGGAGGAAGGTTGTCCATGTAGTCACGATGGGTCAGACACAACTTTGTGACTAACAAAAACAACAATAATATACTTCCATTATATCCATATCCCCTCCAGAAATTCATATAATCTTGATTACAGTCTTTACCTTCTATCAGTGCTGCTTTTATGTATATTTGCTTTTGAGGGTGGATAGTTAATTAGTTCAAAGCAGGCTTGTGTAGCTGAGAACCATCCATCCATCTATAGAGTCAAATATGTTCCTAAACATTTTGCACAGAAAAGGAATCCTTCTCTGAACCATCTTCAGGGCATGATCGCAGCACCACAGTGCCCAGTCTTTGTAACACAGGAAAGGTACAAACTTACCGTTCTGCCCTTGCTGCCCATAAACCTGAAAACTTATGTGCATCCTCTGCCCCAAATGAGGAATGGGGCAGCTGTGTGTTGTGCCCTGATTTTTATCTAGGTGGACTTCCTTCTCCATCTAGATAAAGGACAGGAAAGAGAAGGAACTTGGGATGCTCACAGGAATCCATATAAGTGCTCAGCTCCAGCCTGATTGATCATTGCCCTCCTGTTCTCATTGCTCCCTTTCTCTCCACATATATTTATCCCCTTCAGAAGGCAGTTGACATGGTCTGTGTTGGAGGGATAGGATAAGAGTCTTGGCTCCATGATCACAAGGTCTCAGAAGTGGGACTCAGAATAATTCTGCCTCCCACAAGATGAGCTCAGGGGACCATGGGGCTGCCCTCCCACCCATGAAATGCATCTCAAGCACAGAAGGTGAAAGGTACTTACTGAATGGGATGAAGGAATGGCTAAGACCACTCAACCAGAATTCCATCTATTGATCTTCCAGAATTTATTGATCTTCAAGACCAAGATGTTTCCTTACACTAAAAATGAAAACACAATGCAATGGCTTTTCTCTAGTAGAAACTATAACTGCTTTAAAAAAAACCCAAACAACATTCAAGCCATACCTAAACCAGGAAAGAGAAATCCAGTAAATAATTTACTTGGATGCCTTAATGTTTCATACCAGTAGTATAAAGATGGAAACCTTAGAAATATATTCCTTTTGTGTCCGCTCCATTTCTACAAATGATTCTCAATTCAAGCAGCAAAATACTTTTGAAGAAGCATTCATATTAATATCCTTATGGGACCTCATTAAGAAGACTTGCCTGCACAGATTTTCATTTTTTTATTTCTTTGCAACATGTCTCTATGGTTCCGTATTGGAAAAAAGATCCCAGCATGTTGAAATCATTTTCTTTTCATTCTTTTAACTAGGTTACTAGCCTAGTTTTGTCCTCAACTTTTCATACTTCGTTATGACAGGTCAGAGCATGGGTCCATGTGGCCCAGATTGTTGCTCCTGGTTGGCATTGCTCCCCAGGGATTTGGACAGTATTTTTTTCCAGCTCCACCTGGAGATTCCAGGAATTGAACACGGTGCCTTCTGCATGTGAAGCAGGTCCTCTATGTCTAGCTTGCAACACTTGCCCTCATCCGGATATAGAAGACCCATGTTTAAATCCCCTTCCATCAGTAGCATCACCGAATGGCCACAAACAACTTAGAAACTCAGAAGAACAGAAATGCATACACCCTGCGAAGAAAGCAATAAAACAAAGTAGCAACATTTGCAGAGAGTGAAATCTACCCTGATTGCTCTTTAGAAGGCCAGGTACTGAAAATGAAACTCAAATACTTTGGCCACCTAATGAGAAGGAAGGACTCCCCGGAGAAGAGCCTAATGCTGGGAACAATAGATGGCAAAAGAAGAAGGGGACGGCAGAGGATAAGGTGGCTGGATGGAGTCACTGAAGCAGTTGGTATGAGCTTAAGTGGACTCCAGGGGATGGTGGAGGACAGGAGAGCCTGGAGGAATGTTGTCCATGGGGTCCTGATGGGTCAGACATGACTTTGTGACTAACAACATAAAGATTAAAAGTTTGTCTATAGCAGGCAACACTGGGACACTTGCAAAATCAGGGAAGTATTATGAGAAACTTTGAGCATATTCCCTACATCATCAAAGCATTTTCTTCTGATACGAAAATTAAATGTTGAGCTGAAGTGTCACAGAGTCATTCTGAAATCTGAACACTGATCACTAAAAATAAATGATTTTTCTTTTGTAAGCACTCAGTTCTTCACTCACTCTGTGGTGAAACTCATTTCCAGGGCTTGGGTAACACAAACTTTTGTGGTAACAGGACAGTATGGAACAGGGGCTTGTCTTTATTCAGTGCTCTAGAGATGAAGCATGCCATGCTGAAATTCCACAACAAGGTATTCCACAAGCAGGGAGATCAGATACGTGGCAGGGTATGTTTGCAAAGCAGACCCATTGAAAGTAATCATGCAGTGGATACAAGCTGCATGGCAAATGAGAAGGGAACAAAGAGAGTGTCACTGGCCTTCTGTACTTGGGGAAAATTTCTTGCTGAGTTGACCTAACAGATCTCAAGGCTGAAGAAAAGCCAGTCTCCACCTGCTAACGCTCGAGGTAACTAGTCATCAGTTCATTATGAGTTCCACTTTCCTCATGACCTCTAGAGGGCAGTGGCATTCAAGGAATGTGAAAGAGGTTGAGGTTTGATTTGATTGGACAACAAGACATGAAGGCAACTGCAGATTGCTTTTTAAATATTCTAGGTTCAACACTAAAGTTTGCCTTCTCTTCCTCAACCTGTTCGTGCAAAGATGGAAGAATATGGAAGAAAAATGCTTTCTCCGCCTTTGATTGATGACTTACAATTCCATGGGTATCTCTTGCAGGGAAAACTTGTTCCTCATGTTTAATATGTCTGCTCTTGTTCAGGTTCCAGTCAGCCAGCAAGCCAGGGTGTCTCAAAAAAGGCCATGCTATTACATACACCCCTCCAAATTTTCTATTGTGTTCTTTTCTTACAGACAACTAGCATTTCATGGCTACTGGGAGTCCACAACCATTGCACAATTCTCATTCCATTGCTTTGCTTGCCCCTTTTAGAAATACTATGCATAAACAAGAGTGAACAGTTCCTTGTTTATAGACACAATGCAAATATGACTTCCTCTGGCAGGTCTCATAAGATGAACCACACTCCAGGATTCCCCTGAAGGCCTTCCAATAGGTTCTTCCTTCAATTCATCATTGGTATTGTTCACTTACAGTCACAGAACTGGTGTCATGTGGACTCCATTGACCTCCTTCATTCTGATTGGCCTCTTCTTTGGTGAGTATAGCTACTTGGGGACTGCAGGTGTGAAATGACACAACCTTGACTTGCAAACACAGAACTTCATGGTCCTGCCTTGAGCTCCTTCACAACCTAATATTTGTGTTGATGTGTTGTGAACCCTATGTAGACCTCTAGAATGTCTTGGCCTCAACTTTCATGGATAGGTCCAGCCCATCACCAGCAAGTAAAGTTGCAACTCTGGGCTGAGAAATCCCAGTACGATTGTCCATGGAATAAGGCAGCCTTAACTCTGTACAGCAGCTTAACTTGCTCCCCCTTGATTATAGGTACTTGGCTTCTCATATTTTGAGGAACCTGCCCTTGATGCAATAAATCTCTAACCCTCTTCATCTGTCCTAACTCTATGAATATACTGGCCTTCTTAACAAGGTTCCTGTATGCAAGGTGAGCTTCATAGGAGCTGTCCATGGTGATCCATGGTGGTGAACCTATTTGGGAGGATGGAATTTAGCTTCATGGATAGTTGCTATAAAGCTCAGAAGAAAAGCTGCCATGCATGACAGTCCTGTGGACATGGGAAGGTGGTTGAAGGCAAGAGGGATCCATCAAAAGTTCTAAGGAAGTGATCATTCCTCCCTCCCCACTCTTCTGTCTCCAGTTGCTGAGTGCCAAATCTCCCTGATACAGCCTGTTTCAGAAATTAAACAGCCGGGGGAAACGCTAACTCTGTCTTGCAAGGCTTCCTCCTCTGCTTTTACTAAATATTGGATTGAGTGGACTCAGAAAATCAATGGTCAAGGAGTTCAGTGGATCGGAGAAGTCAATTTGGATGGCACTGGACACACAGTCCGTCGGGCGCTGCGAGGACGATTCGCCATCTCCAGGGATAATTCGGTGAATACAGCTTACTTAAAGATAAGCCAACTGGAGACTGGAGACAGCGGCCTCTATTACTGTAGCACTCACAGTGACAGCAAGCTATACAGAAACCAGAAATGGAAGGCTGCCAATTGAGGCATGCTAAGTCAGCAAGAGTCAT